TCTATCTATCTATCTATCTATCTATCTATCTATCTATCTATCTATCTATCTATCTATCTATCTATCTATCTATTAAACCAACATACAGTGCTGTAACTTTTCATGCTCAAATGCATGTGTAACAGTTGTTTAATAAATATGAATTCAAAAGGTTTGAAGCAAAAATAAAGCTGAAGTCCAACAGCATAAGACACCTTGAGGTCAGACTCCTGCGCCGTTCTGGTTCTGGTAAAAAGTCTCTGTTATTTGTGACTTCAGTAAACTTCTCATATTTAGCTTTGTGCAACATGTTGTAGTAGTGACTTGTATTAAAATCCTTCATGGCAGACAGCACCTCTAAGCAGACTAAACACAGGTTTTCCATGGAATTGTGCGAACAGATTGTCTACTTCCTAAAAAAAGCAGCTTTTAGAATCTAAGACCTGCCTTTTTTAAGTGAAAAAAGATGGAGGTCGGGCCTCATTGGTGAGCCAGAAGCAACTCATCTGGCCCGCGGGCCTCCATCTCTGATCTCTGATTTAGACAAATATGCTTCTTACTGAGAGGTGACTGTTCTGCTAACCACCTGAAGTAGAATTGTTTCAAGTAATTCTAAAAATAAAAGTGAAAAGAAGTGAACACCTCACCTCAACCACCTTCAAACACCACATGTTCAACAAGAGCCACTGTTACATCATATACACTTCTTCTGGTAGCACCAAGCAACAGGCTTCATGAAGACCAAGGAACTTTTCACACAGAGACMAAGTTGGAAAGAAGTGCAGAATATCCCACAGAGCACCATTAAATCCATCATTAGAGCCCTGATGAGGATCAGTTTACCTGCAGTCAACAGGACAACCATCAGCTGTGTAGATCTGAGCTTCAGCAAAGACTGGCCAGGAAAGAAAATACTGTTTAGAAAAAAAAGGCAGACTATTTGTATTTTTGCTATATATGATTCCTCAAACCTTAGGCCATCAAGGACAACACTGGTGCAAACCTACCACCTTTCATCACACTGAGAACAGAGCTGCTACASTGAAGCACGGTRRTGGCAGCRTCATACTGTGGKTTTGTTTTTTTATTGGCTGAAACTGGGAACCTGGTCAGAARAAAAATACAGACTGAACAATATGAAAGGCTGACTCTGGTTAGATGTGAAGTCTGAAAGCAGTACCAAGTCCAACCTGAAGGGGCAGTGTGGTCTTGAAAATTGAGAAAACTCCAGATCAAGATCATTTTGTGTGTGTGTGTGTGTGTGTGTGTGTGTGTGTGTGTGTGTGTGTGTGTGTGTGT